TTGATTAAGTATATCATACTTTGAGAGTTCTTTTGAACCTTTGTTACTTGTGCTTTGAGATTTATCTTTCAACCTTTACTAGTTCTTAGTTCAAGGTAGTAAGATTACTTCTCTTTTATGATATCTTTGATTCCTTTGTGGTATTCTTAGAAGGCGATTAATACTAGTTATTAATTGTTGTCTCAAGTTACTCGTAAAGTGGTCAAGATCTGAATCTATTGTTTTGATTTGCTTTTTAAGTAAAGGCATTTGATTTCTTCCATAAATCAAAACGTTGTTACTTTANAAAGTGGTCAAGATCCGAATCTATTGTTTTGATTTGCTTTTTAAGTAAAGGCGTTTGATTTCTTCCATAAATCAAGACGTTGTTACTTTGATCTTGTCAAGGCTATAGAACTTACGTTCTTGGAAGTTCTTGGAATTCTTTCCTTGAATTCGTCCCATATCCTTTATTTTCATCTCTTTAATTCTAGTTGTTCAATTCCTTGTTGTTATTGCTTCCACATTTACTTCTCAAATTCTTACTCTAATTTGGATTCCCGACCTAGTTGTTATCAAACAACTCTCGAAGAAAGGGCAGGTGATATAGGCACATTTGTTTACAATAACAGCTACAGAAGTGAAAAATGTTATAGTCATACCTACAGAGATCAGATCTGTATTGGAGGACTTCCCATGAGTATTTGCAGAACCCAAGTCCTTGCCACTAAGCAGGAACCATGATCATTTCATTCCCTTAAAACCTGATGCAACCTCAATTAGTATCAGACCCTACATGTAAAACTATTTCCAAATAAATTAAATAGAAAAAGAAGTCAATGAAATGCTTACTAATGGGATTATACACCCAAGTCACTCCCCATTTTCATCTCCAGTTCTTCTTGTTAAAAACAAGGATGGAAGTTGGAGATTTTGTATTAACTATAGAGAGCTTAACAAAATGACCATTAAGGATAAATTTCATATTCCTTTGGTAGATGACCTAATGGATAAGCTTAAAGGATCTTGTATCTATTCTAAAATTGACCTTAGGGCAGGTTATCACTAAATAATAATGGGGGAGAGTGACATCTTCAAAATTGCATTCAAAACTCATTTAGGGCATTATGAGTTCAAGGTCATGCCTTTTGGCTTGACCAATGCACCTGCTACCTTCCAAAGTCTTATGAACCATGTTTTCAAGCCTTACTTGAGAAAATTTGTGTTAGTATTCTGACATCCTAGTTTATAGTTCTTCTGTGGAAACTCATGCTTTACATCTTAAAAAAGTAATGGAAGTACTGCAGAAAGAACAGTTATATGCCAAGTTGTCCAAATGAACTTGGGTCATATAATCTCTGGGAAAGGAGTATCAACTGACCCCTCTAAGATTGAAGCCATGTTGTCCTGGCCTATACCAAAAAATGTGAAGGCTCTTAGAGGTTTTCTATGGCTCACGGGTTACTACAGAAGGTTTGTTAAATCTTATGGCATCATTAGCAGGCCGCGAACTAATTTACATAAGAAGAACTCATTCCAATGGAATGCAGAGGCAGAATTGGCTTTTCAGCAGTTGAAAGAGGCCATGGTATTAGTTCTAGTACTAGCTTTAGCATATTTCACCAAGTCATTCATTGTGGAGACTGATGCCTGCTCCACTGGCATGGGAGTTGTGTTGATGCAAGAAGGCAGACCTATATCCTACTTTAGCAAGGCCTTAGCAACCAAAAATAGGGGTCTCTCTACATATGAGAAGGAATATATGGTTGTGTTAGCAGCAGCGGATAAGTGAAGGCACTATCTCCAAGGAGGACATTTTATTGTCAAGACAGATCATCGGAGTTTGAAATATCTCCTAGAATTAAAGGTGACTATAACCTTGCAACAAAAAGGTCTGACAAAACTGATGGGGTTAGACTATGAAGTGCAATACAAAAAAGGGGTGGAGAATAAGGTAGCAGATGCTCTTTCAAGAAGGCAAGAAGAAGACTGTACATTACTAGCTATATCTACAACTCAAGCTACTTGGTTACAAGAAGTGAGCCTAAGCTATGAATCTGATCCAGTGTCATTATAACTATTGAGTGAATTGGCCATTGCCCCTAATAGTAATGCAGACTATTCATCACACCAGGGAATTATCAGATACAAACACAAGATCTATATTGGACGGAGTACTGAGTTAAGACACAAGATCCTAGAAGCACTACACCAATCACCATTAGCGGGTTACTCAGGACAGCACGGTACCTACAGAAAGGTACAATCTATGTTTTACTGGCCTAACATGAATACAGAAGTATGTAAATGGGTTAGTGAGTGCGATGTGTGCCAACGGGTGAAATCAGAACAAGTTCACCCTCCAGGATTACTACAGCCCTTACCCATACCCAACCAAGCTTGCAGGGGCAATCCTGAGAAAATTTTTTTTAAAGTATGTGTTGGGCAGATTTAGCTTGAAAGAACCCGCAGATGCTTCGAGGGAAAGTAGAACACTTATCTTTTGCAAAGTGTCTCTTGCAAAAAGTAAAGAATTTGTACTGGAATTCATTGGTTCCGTATATAATTGAGGGTTGGTGCATCTTCCTAAAGCACAATGGATGCACTGGTGATGCTGCTGCATAGACAGCTGGCAGGGGCAAATCTGGAGAACAATTTTTTTTGAAGTATGTGTTGGGAAGTTTTAGCTTGAAACAACTCGTAGAAGCTTCAAAGGAAAGTAGAAGACTTATCTTTTGTACACTATGAATGTTTAAATAATTTGACTATTAGTGAATTGCAAATAATATAGAATTTGTACTGAAGCTCATTCATCTGATACATAATTGAGGGATCAAATCCAGATAATTCGTTCCTATACAGCTCCTCCTAGGTGTTGTTAATATGATTACTTATCAAAAAGTCAATCAAAATAAATCTAATAATGCAACAAAAAGCGAAACTGAGTAACGCAAATAACGTATAGAATTCTTATTGAACAACTTTGGAAATGTAAAAGACGAAAGTATTGTTACCTTTTGATCTAGGGCTCCATAACACAACAACAACCCATTAAAATCTCCCAAGTGGGGTCTGGGGAGGGTAGAGTATACGCAAACCTTACCCAAGGGATAGAGAGGTTATTTCCGATAGACCCTCGGAGACGAAAATAGACAATATATCTAAGTTAATAAAATTTTGCACTTGCACCGTGTATTTGTCTTTATTATAAAGCTCTCCCTACTAAAACTACAATGACATACTGGAAAGAGACTGAATGTAGGAGGGGAATCAAATGAAGGTTTAAAATTTGCAAACTAAATATCATAAGCCATCTAGAGAAAGCACAACTAGAATTGATTAAATAGGATAACATCCATACATCATCCATTAGCCACAATTACAAGATTAGAAGTTACATTGAAGGAAAATAAACAGATCAACTCAATTTTAGAATGATAATTTGGAAATAATAATAATAATAAATAACCATACTACAATTCATGAGTGGAGACAAGTGAAATCACATTATCTGAATGACGGTGTGACCCAAGTTGGCGGGCAAATACGACTTAGTGATAACCCAGGATAAAAAGATTCGATTTTTCCATCTTCAAGATCGTAAGTCCCCATATCCCTTCCACCACCACCTTCCACGTAGTTAAATTCCTCAATCCAATCATCAGTAAAATATATGTGATTAGGTTTGACTCCTTTAAACTTCGAAGAGTCGATAGAACTTGCTCCATTACGGCCCAAAAATATAGTTGAATCTCCCAAGTCGTTGATGTCCCTCAATTCACGTTTTATTACATCTAGTTCAGATACTTTAAATTTAAAAGTATCATAACCATCTTCTTCTTCATTATGATGGGCAAACAGGGTAACAAGTAATAGTGCACCGTGTAACTCAACTAGATAGAACTGGACTGACGCTTCATCAAAGATCTTATCTTTAAGCCGTACAAGCAAGTGCGACTTTACAATTGGTTGAGCAATACTAGGCCCTGCAATGTCAAAACCCTAACTTCACCGGTGTAAAAGACAGCAAAAAATTGACCCTTATAATAATTCATAGTAGCGACTGCACCCCCGAAATTTCTAGTGTCAATATTAGTCCAGTTGAGGTCTCCAGGTCGCCAAAAGGCCAAACAGTTACTAAAATTAAAATAGGAAATCATCAGTACATAATCTGATGTAAGAGAAGGATTGGCAGATAAGACAGCTTTGTCTATACAGCGATAGATCTGTCCTTTAGGTACTTCTTCGAGACCCACAAAATCACTTAAGGCTTGTCGTGAAGGAAGTTGAATTTGGTTACGGGAGAAAGGATGCAACAAGTTAAACTCACCATTACATGACATGGTGAACAGCTACCCCTCTGATAGAAAACACTCTCGCCCTCTAGCTTCCGGGAGAAATATGCGTGAAACGTTTTCCTTCGACAGAGAGAAAAATTCTCGATAATCATCATCTCTATCAGCCAGCATCAGCAACGGAAGTTGGGGAGAGAGCAAATCAAACTTATCCTTAGTGGCAGCAGTTCGACATGAGGTACAAACAGCACCAAAAGCAATGAAATCTTCCATCACTTTAATACGCTTTGCGATCACAGGAATGATATCGCGCGGCAATTCTGCCCAGCTCGCCATGGATGGAAGAGAGGATGTAAGGCTATTGGGGCAAGAATATCAAGAGGAGGATTGTGTAGGCTAGAAACAGTTAGGGGCATTTATATAGGCGTGTAACTTCTTCCTATATTGACAAGGATTTACCTTCTATAAATAAATATCATTTAAAAAAATTATATTTTATAGATACCTTTTAAGATTTATAGGAAAATTTAATTGTGGTTACCTTCTAGCCCTAAGCCACTAAATACGCTAATTAGTTACAATATTTTCTTTCTCTCTCTAATTTAATACATCTCATTCTCTTCCTCATCCCATTAAAATTTCTGATTCTCTTCCTCTTCTCTGTCTAGTTCACTTGCGATTTTCTCCTCCATCGATATCCTCTATTGTAACAGTGCTTAAATAGGAAGATTCTTTTTTTTTTGTGCATCACGAAATGTTTGATGCCTCACATTAAAAATCTACGTACAATTAGGGGTAAACTTGATTCTTCATCAACTTAATGTCAATTCTGGCCGCCTACGTCAAAGCGAAAATAAGAAATCAAAAGAGAAAAAATCCATTTCAAGAGGAAAGTAATGGAAAGCTGAATTAGTAGAAGTCACCCAACCACTGTTGTCCATATTAGAGCAAATAGGCCTGCCCTGAATGACTGTTGACACCATGATTAATTAGTCGTATGTCTTATTCTACCACTAAAATTCCGAGCACAATGCTCTAACGCTCTGCATTGAAATTAGGGTTTGTTCTTGAACAAAGATGACGGAGTTTGGGGCTAAGCAACTTGATTTTCTGTTAATATATTTCAATGTATTTTCATGTGTTTCATTGTATTCATTGTCTGTTTTTCCATTGTAATTCAATGTATTTCGTTGTATTCCGTGTATTTCATTGTATTCACTGTCTTTTTTTCATTGTAATTCAATGTATTTCGTTGTATTCCGTGTATTTCATTGTATTCACTGTCTTTTTTTCATTGTAATTCAATGTATTTCATTGTATTCCATGTATTTCATTGTATTCACTGTCTTTTTTTCCATTGTATTTCAATGTATCCCGTTGTATTCTATGTATTTCATTGTATTCACTGTCTCGCTATATGCCATGAATATATTTATATTTTTTTTAGTTAATATAATTTATGTATTCAGATGTATTATATAATTTCTCTGAAGATTGCTATATTTATTTGTGTATTTTTTTGTTGAGAATCTTTTTTATAACTGAAAATACAAAATTTATTTATGTGTTATAATTGAGTTTGTTGAGTTATATTAGGAGTCTATTATGTTAATTGATAACTTTCGATTTTAAAAACAGTGTAATCCCCTATTTCACGCCATGAATACAGTCGAATACAGTCGAATACAGTCAAATACAATAATCTGTCCAGTTGTAATCCCACGTTTCACTCCATGAATACAGTCTAATACACTCGAATACAACAACTGATTAGCAGGACTTCCCTGATTCACTACTGTAGACAATAAATTTGGGTCGAGAAAATAAAATCAAGACCGAAAAATATCGCAACAATCGTAGTATTTTATTTCAAATATTTGAGTGTTACAATCTCTATGATTCCTCTGATTCTACTTTTCTAGTATAAATTCAAGGGCCTTTGAGCTTGATCTTGAATTGTAATTTGATTTATCCGTCACGAACACTTTGATTGTTGCCACGAATTTTATCACAAACAAGTAGCCTTGATCTTGAACGCCTTGTATTTGATTTGACTTCGTTCTTGATCTTGAATACTTGAATTGTTCTTCGTTCTTGAGCTTGAACTTGATTTCTTGAACTTGAACTTGATTGCTTGAAGCTTGAAACTTGTAGAGAAATTTGCGGCGTTTGATCCACGAGCTCTCTCTTGCTTCTTGTTATAACTTCTGGTGTCTTTTCTGAGTTATGAAGACCCCTATTTATAGTTGTAGAAAGGAGGAGTTGTGATAAGAACAAACTCTTTCCGACCAATCAAATTAAAATGTGACATGGCCGCATTTAATTGGCCAGAACACTTCACTTGCACACGTGGCGTGATTTCATTGGCCTTTTAGTGTGACTGGGCATGCTTTGTCATTCTGACACATGGCACGATCCTATTGGCTCTTTCGTTTGACTTGGCGTGCCACGTCATTTGACGTGTGGCATTGGGCCTCTAGGAAGATGACTTCTTGGGCCTAATAAGATGGGCTCATCATTTGTAGCTCAATTAAATGGGCTAGCCCAGTCAATATTTATTGGACTTAAATAATTAATTCAATTATATTAG